TTACGTTACTCAGACAAATGTAGAGAAGAAGGTGAAGTTTTGCTCACTGATAAACTTCTTTTGAAGTGTTTGATTGATCCTGCGTGTGTGTGAGCTTCCTTATCGCATTTCAATCAATACATTTTTTTTTTTTTAATATTAACTTGACTGCAGTCACCCATTTTTAAGGATTTGTGGCCATGTTTTGGAGAGAAATAAGTTTTAAAACAGAGCAACAGTTAGCAAACTTGATGGATAAGAGCAGTGAGACAACAGTCACGCATTTAGCTGGATAACTTGGCCTCATGACATAATCCAGACAATATAATCTGAGTCTGGTGATTGTGTGAATGGTGAACTTTTGAGGTTTTTGAACAACAGATCAACATCATTACTCCTGCGTAGTAACCCATAAGTGCTCTGTTCCTCTTCTAACTCGCCTTGAGTCCGAAGAAGCTCAGCTCAGTGCACAAACTCTATGGCACCGATGAGGATCCTGAAATATTTTGGGTAGATTTTTAACTCCAAATTTTGCCCGGGCAGCGCCGTTAGGCTACTCTTTTTAATTTCCAACAGACAAGGGATTTTTTTACATGCGCAACAATGCAATCTCATTACCTAGAGACCAGGGGGAATTACTAGAAAGTCCAAGTCCACGTGAAAAAATCCCAGCCCTTACCTGGGACTGAACTCGGAACCTCTAGCACTCAAGGCAGACACCATGCCTGGAGACCATGCAGCCTCCCAGGATGGTGAACTAAGATCACCCATAGTTATCTACCTGATAATGATGGCATTATAAATGATCAGTCACACTGCTTTTAAAAACTACTACTTATAGATTATTAGGTACAACATTTTCTGTTTAATTAAACACAAACGTATGATCAGGAAGCACTAAAATGAGAAAAAACATAGAGACCGAGGAAAAAAGAGGACGTCCAAGTGAAAACCTAAGAAGGACTTTGGTGAGAGTAGATAAAAGTCCTGAACCGGATTCCCTCCATGATAATAAAAAGATTGTACAAGATATAATAGAACTGTGGCTATATGACATATAATGGCATGGTAGGATGATGATGATAATCAGAGCTTTCTAACACTGCTCCTTTTCCACAAGTTACAAACCATAAAGTACAATATTTCTGATTTATTCAACAACATAGGTGATGATACATAACACTTCTGTTCGTATCTGTCACATAATGAATCTATTTATACAAAATCTGGTTAATACACTGAGTGGGCAGTGACAGTCAAACAAGTATTCTGTTCAATGTGGCAGTGCTTTTTTTAAAAATCCATCAAACATTCATGAAAAATGCGTTCTTCTTAAGACTAGGCTGACGTTTGAAAAACAAGACAAACGATAAAACAGCCAGTATGCATCACAACGCGCATTATTAAAATCTACCAACAGTCAGAATCAAAGATAAAGATTGAAGGTGAGAAAATCGACATCTTTGCACTGGATTTTATCCTGTATGGCAAAAACTGCTCATAGAAGAAAAGTCTCGTGACCTTTCTGGCAAACCACTAAAACCCAGGGTAGAAGAGGCTGGCAAAACTCTACAACCCAGGGTAGAAGAGGATTAACTAAGTAAGTTAATCTCACATGGCTCACTCTCTCTGCAGAAGGCCTGCTAAGAGCAGCACACAAAGCACAAGCTTCACAGATCCAGTGATGATCCTAGGGATCTCTATAAAAATTGCCCTGGTGAACAAAACACGAAGCAGCTTTGAAATGAACCCATGAGATTCTGAATGTGAAGCAAAAGGCTTCACCATTTCATCAACCCCTAATAGAATTGCTAATCAACATCTTAACAGCATAGAGACCTTTTCATGCCAGAGACACATCAGACATTAGTTCTATACCCATATTTGTATAATCTCTTCTTTTTCTTCACATTCACTGGTTGCAAAATCCTGTAGAAAGTACTGGCTGTTCGTCCACTTCTAGATTTTAGACATGTTCCAGAACTTGAGTTTTCCATTCCCATCAAAGATCTGGCTTTTTTATTTTTTTTTATATGCAGATCTGGTTCCTCGCCTCCTGGGCAGGTATACACTGACTTCAAAGGTAACACCCTAATTAGTCAAATTTTTTTTTAAATTTTAACCTAGACATGTTGGGTAAGGGGAAAGTGGAGTCTCCTCCGTTGTGAAGCGGTCATGAGTTTGTCTCACGGATGCATCGCTCAGTTTACAAGTGCAGTTTTGATAGAGATCTCTGTGAATCGTCACTGGAGCTATGAAGTTCATGTTTTGTGCAGCATTCTTGGCAGGTGGCTAGCTGTTCTGTGGAGAGACTGAGCCATCTAGGATAATCCAGTGCAACATAAAAACAATCCTCTCAACTTTAAATGTAACCAAGAGGCATTCCTTAGATGATGTGGTCAAAACAACATAAACCTTCTTTGCTTCCCATGACATTCTCTCATACCCATTTTAGACAGGATTAGCCTGGTCTTCTTCTGTCTTCTATAACCCAATAGAGCACAGACCCTCAACCAAGGATTCAAAATTCAGGATGAATTGTTCGAAAATCTACTGCGGTGTGGATTCAAATCCCAAGACCTTTTGTTTGGCAGGTAAGCATCTGGCAACAGGGAACCTCACTTCCACAAACTGTAAAATGTGCTCAAAAACATTATCTGGCCAGTATTCTATCACAAATTAATCATTCAAAACAACCATCTGGGTAGTACTGTATTTAAACTTATTCAGTCATATACCTCTATATGTTTATGTACAGTTTTCAAAGAAAACATTTTCCAGTAAACTCTATTCAACAACACAAAACAAGTAAAGGACCCATTTCCATGACAATATGAGATATGTTAGATACACTGTAAAACCTTGTTAACATGAATTCCAATAGATCACAAATTGAGCTCACATTTAAAAAAAAAATTATGCTGAGGAATTGTAATACATCCCTTTTTCTTCTTCATCTTCTTCTTTTCCGAGTGTCGAGGGAGATATAAGTAAAAGGTTCTGCTTCATGCTCTTCTCGTTTGCCAAACCTTGCCCCAGTACAGGACATATTTTTTTTTGGGTTATTTTAAAGCTCCACCCCAGCTGTAGCCGGGAGCCCTAATGTAACCTAACAGTTGAACGGAGTTTCTGGGACTTGTACCCGGGTGATCCGAACAGTGGCACTTTGTATCACTGGGTGTTTATCGCTCGTTTTACAGTTCTATTGCGATTCAACTTCACTCATTCTTGCTCTTTTGGCGCCTCGACTATAGACACACCATACTGTTGAGAAAAACATCCCTGCTGGGACCAAAATTTCATGTTAACCAAATGTTTTTCTTAAGCAAGTTTATATTAACCAGGTTTTACTGTATAGTGCTGGCATTATATTTTCATGGGCCCCTTAACATTTAAAGGATTTAACAAAATAACTCAAAATCCATCAATATAAAACCTATTTTAACACAGTCCATACTACTACAATCTCCTGTCAACTAGAACTTGTAGAATAACAATACAAGTGCATGTACATTGATTATTTTAAGTAAAGTTACATAGAATATTATATGTAATGTAAAGTTTTAAAAAAATATACTGTAAATGCAGCTCTGCTGCTGGCAACATTAAAAAACAATAACTGTTCTTAAAATAACATGCTTGTAACACTAAGTCTGTAAGTTTTTTCATAATGAGGTCAGAAAAGGAAAGGACTTTTTTCCCATCATTAGTGCATAATGCTGGGCTGAACTCTATGTCTGATACCAAGAGAGTTGCATGTAATAGAGTGGAGTGGAAGAATCAAATGCGAGCCTTATGTGATGTCTAACGGAACACAAAGGATGATGATCATATTATTCTAAGATTCAAGCATCACTTCAGAGGTCCTGTGTAGTTAGCGTCCTTTGAATATTTTCTCATATTTATGCCTGTGTGTTGGGAAATGAACAGGCAGATAGAGTGGCTGGTTCTGCACCACTTGGTGGTAAACTGATGTATGACAGCTAGATGTGGTAAAGGCTCTTCAGGAGTAGGTAAACAGTGCGGAGACACATACTGATCATCACGGTGCAACGAGGGCTGACCAGGATAATCTGGGCCACGCTCAACACTATGAGTCGGGGCGTGATGGACATAAAAGCAGACTGTTACTGGTACCATTGGAATTATAACTCTGCATTTGCTGCTGAAGATAGGGATTGATCACTTGCGAGAATGTCCCGAGTGCTGTGGTGCAGTTCTTAACTCAATACTTATGCTAGACTTTTATCGGCACTCAATATATGATGTGGTCAACATTATATTGGATGTCTTTACTTTCCAGGACAAAGACTGGTACACATTTTAGGCTAAGTGGGTTATGAAAAACACATTGACTGACCATAATGAGTTTTGAGTAAAATAAGGAAGGAACATTTTTTAAAGCCTAGACCTAGCTGAGCTTAGAAAATGACAAATTATTACTTATTAAATAAATGGAATTTCAAAATATTCCTAAAATTTACATAAACAATTATGGAAAAAAGAAAGTAATTAAATTTATACATAGTGACTAAACGGTGAAATGAAAGGATAAACTACTTACAATGAATCTTCAACTAAATGTAAAATGTTGTTAGTCTACAGTTTCTAACACTTCTGTAAGAGATGACTGACATTATATATCCACCGTCATTATGGCTGTGCCATATACATGTCAGATAAGTCTTGAAAAAGTCTATTCCTTCATTCAATTCTAACAGTGCCATACTTTGGATGTCATGGACCAGCACCTTTGGCCTTACTTTTGGCCTTTTCTCAACATTCATCTAAGGATTTCTCTTTGAAAGTCATATGCCTTTTTCACTGTGATTATTGTGACAGATTTGGTCTCCACTGTGAAATCATCCGGGACAAAAAGAGTTAAATAAGGTCAAATGTATTTTTTTTTAGGTATTTGCCCTCAAACACACCTCAAAACTTTTACACCACATGTACATAAGTGAACCATCTGACTAGCTCAACACAAAACTCATTCAATGTTTGATGATCGTTGACGGCCTTTACAATCCCTTGTTGAAGTACACAACCGTTGGAGGATTGGGCAGAGCCTGGATTTTGTCCCTGACCTCAGATTCTAGATTAGCTACTGCCATAGAACTGAAATAGAATTTGTATTTTTAGAGTTGTAAATATTTGGTTATAATGTATTTCTTATAGTATACTGTTGATAATTTTAAATAAATCTTATTAATTTAGACAGTGCTTGTTTATAAATTAATTTTAACGAAGAGAAAATATAAAACAATCAAGATATTTAAAGTCTGTGTGCATGCGTGCGTGCAGGTATGTGTATATATACTAGAACAGCTCCATATTAATGGATGTTTTCTTCTTCCTCATAGCATTCAATGAAGCATTTCTTCTGCCTTTCTAACCCCCAATGAAGAATAGGCCCTCAACCAACTCAATGGAAGCATAAGCCCCCAGTTAACTTGTGCCTTTTTTATTTTTGAAAATTCAAGCAGCTCACTCCATGTCTTCCCTATCTTATTTACCTCCGCCTCCATTCCTCATGTCTTCCCTATCTTATTTATCTCTGCCTCCATTCCTGATGTCTTCCCTATCTTATTTACCTCCGCCTCCATTCCTGATGTCTTCCCTATCTTATTTACCCCTGTCTCCATTCCTGATGTCTTCTCTATCTTATTTACCTCCGTCTCCATTCCTGATGTCTTCCCTATCTTATTTACCCCTGTCTTCATTCCTGATGTCTTCTCTATCTTATTTACCTCCGCCTCCATTCCTGATGTCTTCCCTATCTTATTTACCTCCGCCTCCATTCCTGATGTCTTCCCTATCTTATTTACCCCTGTCTCCATTCCTGATGTCTTCTCTATCTTATTTACCTCCGCCTCCATTCCTGATGTCTTCCCTATCTTATTTACTCCTGTCTCCATTCCTGATGTCTTCCTATCTTATTTACCTCCGCCTCCATTCCTGATGTCTTCCCTATCTTATTTACCTCCGCCTCCATTCCTGATGTCTTCCCTATCTTATTTACCTCCGCCTCCATTACTGATGTCTTCCTGATCTTATTTACCTCTGTCTCCAGTCCTGATGTCTTCTCTATCTTATTTACCTCTGTCTCCATTCCTGATGTCTTCCCTATCTTATTTACCTCCGTCTCCATTACTGATGTCTTCCTGATCTTATTTACCTCTGTCTCCATTCCTGATGTCTTCACTATCTTATTTACCTCTGTCTCCAGTCCTGATGTCTTCCCTATCTTATTTACCTCTGTCTCCATTCCTGATGTCTTCTCTATCTTATTTACCTCTGTCTCCATTCCTGATGTCTTCTCTATCTTATTTACCTCTGTCTCCATTCCTGATGTCTTCTCTATCTTATTTACCTCTGTCTCCATTCCTGATGTCTTCTCTATCTTATTTACCTCTGTCTCCATTCCTGATGTCTTCTCTATCTTATTTACCTCTGTCTCCATTCCTGATGTCTTCCTGATCTTATTTACCCCTGTCTCCAATCCTGATGTCTTCCCTATCTTATTTACCTCTGTCTCCATTCCTGAAGTCTTCCCATTCCTGATGTCTTCCCTATCTTATTTACCCCTGTCTCCATTCCTGATGTCTTCCCTATCTTATTTACCTCCGCCTCCATTCCTGATGTCTTCCTGATCTTATTTACCCCCGCCTCCATTCCTGATGTCTTCTCTATCTTATTTACCTCCGCCTCCATTCCTGATGTCTTCCCTATCTTATTTACCTCCGTCTCCATTCCTGATGTCTTCCCTATCTTATTTATCTCTGTCTCCATTCCTGATGTCTTCCCTATCTTATTTACCCCTGTCTCCATTCCTGATGTCTTCTCTATCTTATTTACCTCCGCCTCCATTCCTGATGTCTTCCCTATCTTATTTACCTCCGCCTCCATTCCTGATGTCTTCCCTATCTTATTTACCTCCGTCTCCATTCCTGATGTCTTCCTGATCTTATTTACCCCCGCCTCCATTCCTGATGTCTTCCCTATCTTATTTACCTCCGTCTCCATTCCTGATGTCTTCCCTATCTTATTTACCTCCGTCTCCATTCCTGATGTCTTCCTGATCTTATTTACCCCCGCCTCCATTCCTGATGTCTTCCCTATCTTATTTACCTCCGTCTCCATTCCTGATGTCTTCCCTATCTTATTTACCTCTGTCTCCATTCCTGAAGTCTTTCCTATCTTATTTACCCCCGTCTCCATTCCTGATACCTTCCCTATCTTATTTACCTCCACCTCCATTCCTGATGTCTTTCCTACCTCATTTACCTTCACGTCAATTTCTGTTCTCCATAACTTTTGGGTTTTCCTTTTATCTTTTTAACATTGCAGTTATATTATATCAGGTTTTCTCCATAAGTGTCCTATCCAGAGACAGCATCTTTTCTTCACCTGTCATTCACTGGAATTTAGTTCCCTTTCACATATCCACACTAAAAATATACTCTACTCAGGCACCAGTTAATGACTATTGTTTGTTAGTAATTATAGTATTGGTTGTTCTCCATATTTCTGCTCCATACAACAGTACTGGTTTGACATCAAAGTCAAATATTCTAAGAGATATATTTCCCTGTGGCTTCCAGATTTCCTAGTACCTCAAAAGCTTGTCATGTTCTTTTGATTCACCTTTTTATTTTTAATTTAGAAACATACTAATAATTACTTGTCAATAATATGATTACCATAACTCACCTCTTTTGTGGAAACAACGCACAACACAATGGAGTGGCAAATACCAGTCTGGGAAAACAAAATTTGCATTTGTACACTTCAAAACTAACAAGAATTTGAATATCAAGGTAAACAATGGAGGTAGGTAAAGGGGCTAGCTCTCTCCCCTTACAAATTTTCATGAGGTGGTTGTGGGAGGGCGGGGGTTAATATGTTTAGGTTTACACAACGGATCAACAACATGGCACAAGGGCCCTTAGTATCCCACAAGTGCTCTGTTCTACTTCTAACTTAAGCCTGAGCCCGAAGAATCTCAGTGCACAAGCTCTCTAGCACTGGCAAAGATCCTAAAATACTTTGGGTAAATTTTTAACTCAAAATTTTTCCCCGATACCGCCGTTAGGCTTCTCTTTTCAATTTCCAACTGCCAAGGGATTTTTTTTTTAAATGTGCGCAACAATACACACGAGCGTCCGATCTTACTACCCAGAGACCAGGGGAAATTACTAGAAGTCAACGTGAAAAAATCCCAGCCTTCACTGGGGCCTGAACCCAGGACCTTCAGCACTCTAGGCGGACGCCATGCCTCGAGACCACTCAGCACCCCTTTTTAAATACATAAAATAATAATATAATGTGCTGAATGGCAAAGAAATATAATCATGTACTTAAAATAAAAGTCTCTTCAACTTATGACTGAGTTCCGTTCTGACTAAAAGGTCATAAGTCAAACTCGTCGTAAATCTAATTAATATTTTTTTCTCAAAATTATTTATATTAAAATGGGTTATAAAAATTGTACGTTAAAGCAAAAGCAAATACTAATGTGATAACTTGTCCAAAAGTGGTCTTTAAAGAACAGAATGTAATATTTATGAAATCATTTTACAGGATAAATTTTAATAGTTCCCAAAAGTGATATGTTCTTACTTAACAGTTTACTAAATTTCTGTATTTTATTTTACAAGCAATTCTCACAAAATTTGGTATATATATTTTCCACGAACTTATAAGATTTAGTTTGATAAACTGAGCATTATTGGCTCATCCTGAGTGTAAATGACTTTGATTCTTCTTAATTAATCATCAATATAAATCTTTAGAATTTAAGCTATATTGTTTAGCATTAGCCCCATCTCTGTCTGTGACCAGTTTTCTTCATCCAGCTAGTGACTCCAAATGTCTGTAGGTCGGTCTGTATACTATCTCTCAACCATCTCCTTTCCCGCCACATGGTCTATTCCCATTCAACTCTTTTGTGTACACAATTTTTGTTTCTCTGTTATCTGCCGTTTTCTCTAAGTGCCCCAACCATTGCCGTCTAGCCCTTATGATAGCAGTAATGTGGTGATTTAAACAGACGATGAGTTGTGTGGTTGCTCAACACATATAAACACTACAATAGGATAATTCACCAGTGAAGACAAAACATTCCTTAAATGTACTTCATACTTACAAAAATCCAATCATAGCAACCTGAATGGGGGCATTTAACCATGGCATTCTCTGCAAGAATTTCTTCTTCTCCAGGCTATTCATTATAAAAGGAGGTATCACTGAAACAATAGAAATGATTAAAACTTCAATTTTTTTTATTTTATTTTCAAATTCTATAATAATGAATTCCCTGTAAACTTGTAATGGTTGAGATCTGGAATTCTCAGTGAGGACTCCGGGCCATCTTTGGTGGGGTGGGGGTAGGGGGTAAGGGGGGGGGGGGGGGGGGGGGGGGGGGGGGGGGGGGGGGGGTGGGGGGGGGGGGGGGGGGGGGGGGGGGGGGGGGGGGTGGGGGGGGGGGGGGGGGGTAGGGGGGGGGGGGGGGGGGGGGGGGGGGGGAGGGACCCATTGACCCACTAACAAGAATGTCATAAAATATGACTAGTTAGAGGTGTTTCCTTCAGAAGCTAGAAACCAACAGTTTGCATCCGAATAAGTCATAACTGTAAAATGGATGTGCATGCACAACTCAAGTTCTGACACAAGACTAAAGTCCAGAAGTGGGTGAACAACCAGAACTTTCTGCAGGAGTTTACAGACGATGAATGCCAAGAAGAGAAGATCTTGAATACCAATATTTTCTCAAGAAAATATGTGTCTCTACAATCTGATTTGCATGAAAATCGTATTTAGCTAACATTTTGTGTAAACAAACATCTTATGATGGAGGGTAGATAGATGAGTAGGTAGAAATCAACTAAAGTCATAAAAAAAATGTTTGTTTTGTTTTGTTTCAAAAGCATTCAGTAACCTCTACGCCACAAAGCAATGCTAAAGTTGTTACTCACTCATTCCGGGCATAGCCATTATAATCCTTGATATAACCACTTGAGATATGGCCTTGGAGGCTGCCCGTGTGGACTCACCCACCCTGTTGCCATTTTCATCAAATATGGGTATGCCATGCATCAGCTCCCTGTCAAATGAAACCAAGTAAAATTAACACACTCACAGAACATGCTATTTCCAAATAAAGGCAGAGATTCTACAGTCAAATTGACACAAATTTAACACTTTCAGTACTAGGCAGTTTTAACTCTTTCTATTCTAGAAATGGAAGCCGCTGTGGTGTAGCGGCTAAACGCTCACCTGCCGGTCTAAAGGTTGTGGGTTTGAACCAGCGGTCTAAAGGTTGTGGGTTTGAACCAGCAGTGATATTTTTTAGTGACCCTGACTCCCAGGTCATTTCAGCCTAAAATAGGTAGCAGGTAAAGCCCAGGGAAGTAAAGGCTGCTGGCATGGCATCACCCATGGAGGCCCGATTAGTCTACAAAAATAGTTAGTCTAGCATTATATGCCCAATGCGTCACAGGTGTGAAATGGGTTTTTCACTTATTATGCTAGAAAGTTTACTTTAGGTAATAACCGGTTAGGTCAAAATGAGTTACAGTAATAACACACTGAGACAGAAGAAGTTAAAGTAACAACAGGAGCCAAGTGGGTTAGGGAAACAACTGGATGTGGCATAAAAAAAAAGAAAAGAAAAATATATAACGTAAGTAGAACCCAACAAAAGCTTGGTGCTGAATGAGTTCAAACATCCACACAAAAAACACTCAGTTATCTTCTTGTTTTTCTTCTCTAATCCTGTATTGCCTTTCAGCATCAGGTTTTGAAGAGGCATCGGGTGACAGCCCAATATGTGCTACACAGTTGCTGGTATACATGGTCTCAGGTATTCCTCTATCAAAAGACTGCATGGTCGACCTTCGGCTCTGCTTCCATTATGTCTACGTGACAGGGCTCTTGGTGGTGCCATCTGGTGGAAGTCTTGACATATGTCAAAACATTTATCTATATGATCAGTTATTATGTTTCTTAAATATACAAAGTATTAAATATAACTATGCTATCAATGCCAAACGTGGACACTTACATCCTCCAATTAACGTAAAATTTTGACAACAGAGATGAAATGCCTTAGAAGAGCTGCAGGAGTTTCAAGGAAAGACAGAATACGAAATCACAAAATCAGATGAATGCTAGGAATAAAGCCAGTCTTACAGGTCATCAAAGAACAACGAATGAAGTGGTTTGGACACCTAACAAGAATGCCCTGGTACTATCTGTCACAGCGAGCCACACTAAAATGTTACAATGGGTTTAGAGTGAGGGGAAGACCTCGGAAAATATGGAGTGATGGCATTAAGAACAGCCTTACAGAAACGAACATCAGTCTTAATCGTGCTCTTGACAGAGCTCATCCACGAACATTACATCTCCCCCCGACACTTCGATGAGGTACAAGGTGGAAGAGAAGAAGAAGAACTAAATATAACACAATGACTAGAAAGCTCAACTGAAGAAATGCCATAGATGCGCACAAATGAAACCAAACATGACAAAAGTTAGGACAACCTGGCACTTGTTAGCTGAGGGTCTATTATCCCCTGGAGGACTATGAAATCTATGCAGTTAAATGTAGTTGTTTTACCTGCTCCTCATGCAAGGAATGTTGATGCAATTGGCTGCAGCCACCGCAGCAAATGGCACAAACCGCCCAACAATTGGAGGGAATTTCTGAAAAAGTAAAATACTTTTCATTAACATATAAATAATTAGTTACTTTACTTAGTTTCTCCTCTTCTACCTTGGGGCGAAGAGGTGTGCCAGAAAGATCTCCAGATGTCTCTATCAGCAGTTTTATTTCTGGCTTTGTTCCATTCCAGTCCTTTGTCAGTTAGGGACTGTGGGATTTTGTCTTCCCAGCGCACCCTGGGTCACCCTGGAGTTCTGGTTCCCTGGTCCTTAGACTCCCATCATTAACATTTACCAAATATAATATTTTTTTTTAAATTAAACTTACAGTAGTAAATACAGAAAACATCTTTAAAAAACTCTGCAACATACCTTCACCATGCTATTGAGAGTAAGGGCTGTAGTTACAGCACCACCAGTTGCCGCCACATAGGAGACACCCAGTTGTCTAATCAAAGAGAAAGAGAAGAAAGTGAACAACAAAACACACAAACAAATCAACAGTTACATAACTGTAACTTAAATACAATAACATAAGTTCCAACTTCAGTGCTAATGGGTAAGACTAGTTGCTCCGTTCCTGTACCAACAACAAAACACAGAGAATGTCTATGTCATCTCTGTCCCTTGTGAAAAAATTTGACACACTGCAGTCTCAGCAAAGCCAATAGCATACACGTGCATTAAATGCATGAGGCAGTAGTCAGAAGTGCCAACACACTCAGTCCAACACGAGAAATGCAGTTCGTCGTCAATGAAAGTAGTAGTTACAACAGATCAGCAGTTGCACGCACAATTAATCGCAAAAGGCACCACCAGTTTCTTGACAACAGGCCACTCACCATTTTTAGAATCTGCAGTTCACAACAAAAAACATTGGTGGGCACAGTAAAAAACTATTCCAAATGAAATCTGCACTCAATGTCACGCCCTGCACCTAAATGAGTAGCTAGGCAACAGAATTACATCCTTTCAGTCTACATATGGAGGTAAATGCAACGGCTAACCACTGTCAGAAGCAAAACCTTGCCCCCAGTAAAAACAGTAAGCCAGCTTATCCAACATAGTGACCAGATTACTGAATCTTGCATGATAGCACTACAAAAGTAGCACATTTTTAAGTAGGTGGGTTCCAGTGTCAATACCTTCCTGAATCAAAGACAAATATTTGCAGTGATAAATAATAGAATCCAAAAGATGTAAACATGTGCACATATTTTGAAATACAAGTCCTTTGTTTAACAAATGTAAATTATAACTTGTAGGACTTTGGCTGTACTATATTTTTCCAAGGAGAATTATGTGTATTTTTACTCCACCTCAGCAGCCTCTTCCTCCTCAGTTCTTTAAAGTTTCACTCCAAACGAATAAGCCCGATTCATTCTGATTCAAGTGAACACTATCTCTCCATCACCAACCTGCTTAATTTATACCTCTGACTCTAATTTGAATACCAACATCTTTATTCTGCTAAGCATTAAGTGCTCTGTTTTGCCTTGTTGAATTTTCCCCAAAATGTCTTGTTTTTAAGAACAAGTACTGAGACTTATGAATGTCAGAGCCATACTTTGTGATAAAATCTTACAAACACTATGCTCACTTTTAGTGTGCATTTCCGACTGAAACTCAAAAGCCACATTAGATGACTGTAAGATGACATGACACCAACTTAACTGACACAGGTACCCAGTGCTACACAGATTTTACTTCTTCTTCAGCGTTTGCCCTCAAAACTGCAGTTGGTAAGCTGTGTTCTGGTTCACAGCTAGGCTGTGATATCCGCACCTTTTCCCCCAACATATCTGATTTCAGCAAATCCTTAGTCATCTTTTGCAACATGCTAGTCAAAGGGCAGTGGGTCTATTATATGTTCACGTAAGCATCTCAAATAGCTGAACACATTCTACACTGAATCAAAAAACAGTTCAAAAAGATTTAATCTATTATCAGATTTGAAAAACCCTACAGGTAAAACTCTCAAGAAGCTTGCAGAACCTGCTCAAGACAGCCCTGTTCAAAATTGAAACAAAATGGTGAGATGGGATGATTCTTAAAACACAAAAATATGATTGTGAACTCAATGTGTCTATTCTGGAGACTCAGTCTGGGGGTTGGGGCGATTGGGGGGGGGGGGGGGGGGGAGGGGTTGACCTGCTAGCTCTTAACATGCATTTCATAAAAGGTGACTAACTAAGGTTTGCAGAATTTGGGTGTGTTAGGCTGACAAACGCAGATATTGCAGCTAAGCAGTAAAATACAACCCAATGTGCCAACCGCCCTTTGAAGGATGAGCTCTGAAGAAGAAAGAAGTAGATTATGTCCAGATTATAACAGAGTTAACTAAATCTCATGACAAACATCCAACAATGACTTACACAGGTGATATAGGTGAATCCCCGCTGCGGTTGGTGTAGTTGACTACAGCATTAAAAGTCTGGTTGAACCACTGCCAGAATACAACTGCTGGTGTTGTCCTATATAAAACACAGCAACAGTTTTAAAATATGAATTTACACATAAAAGTAACAACAGACAGAATAAATCAGTTAATATATTTGAAATATGAATAACAGACTGCATTATTTTCAAAATTAACCTCCTGATCATTTGATCATCTACGTTTTCATTTCGCTTCTAAGATTTCACCTGCTGAGTCAGGGAAAGCTCATCTACCAGCCTGTAAGGTCTTCAATTGGAATCAGCATCAAGGTAGATTTTTTTAAAATTTATAACTGACCTTGGCTCAGAGGTTACGCAGCCTAAAATGGGTACTGGGTGATGTCATGGCAAGTAAATTAGCTCCCATGATGGTGACCACATCTTCCACCGAATGCTTACTGATCTATAAAACTATGAGTCTAGCATTGTGTGCCCACTGGGCATTTGTGTTTAAAAGAATCGTCCTCTGCTTCACTTTCAAGAGAATGCATATGGTCCTAAGTTGGCTCCAATACAAAATAGTATCGCTAGCCTCTTTCTGTGTATGGAGACGGGAGTACTTATAAAGGTACCTGTATGCAGTGAGGCTCTGTGGCTTACAGATTAGTGCAATGGTGTCAGAATGCAAACTTTGTTGTTTACCAGGGTTCTTTCCCATGGTGGGCAGTTTCAGAAAAAGATGGAACCCATGGTTGAAGAGAATAGGCCTCACCATGTAATATTCACATAAATAGCAGTAGATACATCGCAGCCAACCTTTAGTGTGAAGATGGCAGTCTTTTATGCAATCAAAGTAATTAAATGCAGACACTAAACTCTCTTTTAGTCACCAACTTTTACTAGCTCATCATCATCATCATGTAGCAAGTCCTTTGCAGAACGTTTCCATGATCATGGTCCACCTGAAATAAATGGTTTCTTGCCAGCTCTCCCCCGCAATTTCATATTCAAGGAGTCACTTATATCTTGTGCCCATCTTCGTGCTGGTCAGCTCCTGCCCCTCCTTCCTGGTACCATGCCTTCTGCAATTATTTTTTCCAGTCCACCATGGTGCTTGATATGGCCAAAATATTTCAGCTTTCGAGACAAGATGCTGTTTACCAGCCAATCTTCCTCGATGTTCAGAGAATCGTTCCATAGTATTTCAGCTTAAAAGCTCCTATTTTCTCTCTCAAGGACTGGGACATAGACCATGACTCACATCCGTATGTTGCTATAGGGAAGCTACCTTAGTGTAAAACTAGATGTTTACCCAGCACAAGAAACAATTTAACTGTCATTAAAACAATACTCACAGGCACTAACAAAAACTGTAAACATTTAACTACAACAGATTTTCATTACTTGTAAAATGTCATCATACATCCGGTTATAGTCATATTCATGGGTACTTGCGCGGACATTCGCCCTAAAATAAACATCTTCTCCTTGGTGTCTGGGTGAAAGGCTGAATCGTACAGATGCTTGGCACGCCAGAGTTTTTCCTCTGTCAGTCCAGGTACAACCTCTCCTTTTCTAAATGTAGAGAAAAAAAATAACATTTCAAATAATGATCAATACTGTGAAAAAGCCTACACTGAAACTACATTGCCCTTACCTATACAGACATCCTAAATGTACAGTAAGTATAAGAAATCAATTTGTATTTTAATTAAGAATGTAAGCAAATGACACTAGGCTGAACTGACTGTTCCCTCTAGGTTGCTATCTGAAGGTCCGAGGGCCCACCCCCCACCCCATGTGATTTAATCAGACCTGTCCTATATGTCAATGTATCAGCACAAATCCCAGATATCCCTTTCAACCTCTTCGTCTCCAGCATTCTGAGCCCCTGAGGTTCACTGCTGCAGATATCCGCCTCCATTCGTTTGACGAATGCAGAAGAAGAAGACCCGCCTCCATTCAACTCCTTGGTTGGCCTTCTCCTTCCAGTTTGTAAAACCAAATGTTTGCAGGCCTGTCCGGATATTATTTCTCCCTCGTCTTCTTGTTCTGCCCCATGGTCTATGACCATTCAGCTCCACTGTGTATAGTTTTTACCTCTCCACTATCTGATATTTTCTCTATGTTAATTTTTTTTTCAACCTCTTAGGAATTCATAATTATGGTACCTGTAAAGATACACTCAGCGATATCCTGGTGTACCCTGCTGTTCTAGTGAGATATATATATATATATAATAAATCATTAGAGTCAGAAATGAAACAGTGACCAGTCTGAAGCAAGTCAATGTGTTAAGTAAATGGGTACTTGATAACAGCAGAAAGAAATGTATTAAGTTAAATGTATAATAACCCAAGCAAAAGCAACATTTTACATGATAAGGAATATTTTATGCCATGACTATTCAACTGACAACCTGTGGGCTGACTCTGGCATGCAAAGGTCTAGGGGCAGGGGCCGACCAACATGAAGATGGGCACAGGATATGAGTGACTCCTTGAGTGTGAAAGTACATGAGGTGGGAAAACTGAGTTTTTTATAGGCAGACAGTGATTAGAGCGACGTTCTGCAAAAGACTGCTACATGATGATGAGTAAGCAAGAGAAAGCTTTTGAGAGTTATGTTTCCCCTCCTGAGGAAAAGTAGTAAATAACTGGACAATTAGCAGATAAGTTCGAAATTATTTTAAGGCTGTAGGGATAGTGTTTGATAAAAGAAAGATAAGAAAACCAAGGGCAGATACAAAGCATGATGAAGAAGTCTTGAAATTGATTCGGAAACAAGAAGACAGTCCAGTCTTAGGGCATGTCATGAGAAGAGATAAACTAAAGTAGAGCATGACGACATGGAAAATGGTGAGAAAGAGAATCACGGAGAGAAATTCTAGTCTGGCATCATGACTTGGAGAAACATCTGCGTCAGAAACTGCTGGCAGTACACCAGACAGAAAGTTATAGATACTGAAGACATATGCCACATTGCACTGACTCAGGGTTGATCTTCTTCTTCATGTTCACTGGCTGTAAACTCAAGTGGAAAGTTCTGGGTTTTCACCCACTTATTAACTTTAGTCTTGTTCCAGAACTTGAGTTTTGCATGCACATCCATTTTACAAATCTGGCTTATTTCTATGCAGACTGTTGGTTCCTCGCCTCTCAGACAGATGCAACCAACTCTGAAGGAAACACCCCTAATTGTTTGAATGAGACAGTTATAAGAGGGGCAGTGGGTCTTGGTTTTGTTCTCCCCAAAAGGGGTCATGAAACCCACAACTGGAACTCAGGGTTAAAATCCACCCTGAAGTGGAGGTGTTTTTATGGATGACACTGCTGCAGGATTGACCCAGTCTTATAAAAGTATATACAAGTATGAGTTCTAAAGAGTTAAAGATCACAGGCACAACGCCAAAAATTATCTATCCAGTGTTAAAGAGATAACTTCAGCAAGAAAATTCATGAGACATGTACACTGACAAAGAATTAAGAATCTTCTCTGCAGACATGATGAAAGCCATGTTTGTAAAGGAACTGTTACTTGATGATAATTATTCACACAAGGAAAATAATAATTCAAGGACCCTTCTCCTACCCTGAGTTTTGTGTGTACAGCCATTTTACAGAACTGGCTTACTTGTATACAGATGGTTGGCTACTTGTCTCTCAGGCAGATGCACTCTGACTCTGAAAGAAACAACCCTAATTAGTTGCCTTCTAGGATATGCTTGTTCCTCTAAAATGGAGCCCATGCAACCTACATGGGGACTTCTGTGTTTGTTCACACTCTCAAAAGGGCAGCTGGCATGCTGTGTTGCAGTGTACAGCTAGGCTGCAATATCTGCATCTTCCTGCCTAGCACACCTGATTTCAACAAACCCCAAATTAGTCATGTTTTACAAAATGGTTGTTAGGAGGGCAGCGGGTCTATTCCTTCTCCACCTTAAAACAAGGTCCCGTAATCCCTCATGGGGAAGAAAAAATGGTAAGTGTTTCATTATCATTTATACCTGTATCTCTCCACAATGTCTTTGGCCTCATCCAGAGCTTGCCCAGAAACAAATAAATTCAAGGGATTGGTCGTAATGAAGAAGTGTTTGGCTCGGCCAGTGTATGTGGACTGGTCATACCTGGGCTCATCAATGTTCACTGATAACTGAGGCATGGCTGGCTGTTCACTGTAGATGGTAATAAAATACTTGTAACATCTGAATTAATCAAGTAACAGAAAGTATTATTTATTTGTAACATCTGAAGATGGTAGTTTTAATACAACATTTCATGACAAATAAATACAGGAAATAAATACACAGTGTCCTATTATTTCCATACTTAGGAAAACACATTTTAATGTTTGTCCTCCACTGCTGAATAGCCGTATAAGCACAGCTGGAGGTTTACCTTCAGTAATGCACCAACGCATGTGAGAAGAACCATGGACAGAGCAGATATTGTCAAGGCTGTATGGACTGGGCTAGTCAATGAGGACGAATCACTGACACTAACACAACTGCGTGACATGGGAGTAAAGTATGGTGAAGCACATCCATGCCGCCTTTAAGGCAGAGATAAGAGACATTATTACCAACTTATCATGACAACAATTAGTAGAAGTACATTGGACAGGTCGCTATCGGAGGACTGAGTACGCATGGGAATGCCTAATGTGCAGTGACGTCAATTGGGATAACATAACTTACTTATAATGGTGTCGGTGATATTTTTTCCTATGTCTAGAAACTTATGGTACACCCTTTACAGTCTGCCCAAAAAATATATACACAGTGTTATTTATGGCCTTTTTAGTCAGAGTGTTGCAACTTGTGACACAAGCTCTGTTTCTTTATTTTTCTTTTTTGAACCCCTACATAGCACTCTTGTCTGGCTTCACCCCTTTTAGACTTGCTGTTCTAGCATTCTTGTAAAGGTTGCCAATTCAGTTGCTTATGATCTACAGGGGTGGTGGTGGGAATGTGTATAAAGGTATCTGTATGCATGTTTTGAGAAGGAATGGGCTCGACTGACAAGACTGATGGAAAGAGAACAGTGGAGAAACAAAGAGATAAATACCTGGATGGCTAAACATATGGATGGGGTGGATCAGAAAACTGGCCTGATCCGTGATTGTGTGGGTTGCTGAAGCATGACAATCTGATCAGCAGGGACATGATGATGGTGATGTTGATGATGATGCAACAAAAGTGACTAAATACAAATACCAAATTCTCTTTTAGTCTGAAGATGTTAGCCTATATACACTATTTAAGGACAAATAAATAGTGTCCACACCTAAAAAATACAATGCCATCTGTGATTGTAGGCATAGATCGCTGGAGTGTTGCAAATGCAGTCTGTAATTCTGAGATATGTGGCTCAATTCTAGCTGTGAGCAATATAGCAGCAGAACGCTTTGCATTGACTGCTTTGATAATAATATCGAGAGCCGGCCATTCATACAGCATTGGCAAGAACAGAGGACGCTGCACTTTTTTAATGCTGTGCAGTTCATGCTGAAAAAGGCTTCGGCTGAAACACTGATGCCTCTGTTGTTTCCCTTTCCCTAAGCTTTTTTAAGTTCACTGGATTAATTTATGAACATAATCACTGCAGAACCAACCCCAGCCGTAGCTGTCTGTTTTGGTTTTACTAGACAGTTTTACATTCAGTAATTTGCCACTGACCCTGAATGGTGGGCTCTCTATACAATAGAAAAAGTGGCTATCCTCTGAATAATGGTACCAAATTATCGAGGCCGAAAATATACCCTAACAGGGCCTCAGTCACGGGTCAATTGCGCATTTCCAGCGACCTAAATTGCGCACTTCCGCCACCGCCGAGATTATCACCCACACCGCTCACGCGGCTTGGATTGGGGCTAAATTAGATGGCTGGGACTCACGAGCAGCAGCCACCGCATCTCCTGCAGCTTCCTTCATTTTATTTGCTCGTGAGTCCCAGCCATCTAGTTTAGCCCCAATCCATGCTGCGTGAGCGGCATGGGGGATACTCTCGGCGGTGGTGGTATAGTCCCCGGAAGTTCGCAATTCGGCGGTGGCAGTATAGTCCCGGAAGTTTGCAGCTGACAGTGACTGAGACCCTGTTAGGGTATATTTTCGGCCTAGATAATTTGGGACCGTTATTCGGAGGATAGCCGAAGAAGTTAATTACTGGCTGCAACTGATAAAGTTAACATACTAGTAGCACTAAACAAAGATTCCCAGTTCAACCCCTCTAGGTTATAAACTGGACAAATAGACTAATTTTCTATTTCAAAGTTGATATATTTGTTTGTCAATTACTTTTGGTTATTTAATATTGCACAGAATACGTACTGACTGTAAAAGATCATGATAATGAAACAACAGTCCATGTAAAAGATCATGATAATGTAACAACAGTCCATGTAAAAGATCATGATAATGTAACAACAGTCCATGTAAAAGATCATGATAATGTAACAACAGTCCATGTAAAAGATCATGATAATGTAACAACAGTCCATGTAAAAGATCATGATAATGTAACAACAGTCCATGTAAAAGATCATGATAATGTAACAACAGTCCATGTAAAAGATCATGATAATGTAACAACAGTCCATGTAAAAGATCATGATAATGTAACAACAGTCCATGTAAAACATCATGATAATGTAACAACAGTCCATGTAAAAGATCATGATAATGTAACAACAGTCCATGTAAAAGATCATGATAATGTAACAACAGTCCATGTAAAACATCATGATAATGTAACAACAGTCCATGACAAAAAGGGGTCAGGAACAGTGGCCTAGAAATATAAACTGAGTTGCCTGGTACAGAAATAATAGTTAATAAACAACACACACTATCCATCTTTTAAAAGTTTAATAATATTAATTTCCTCATAGAAGTGCAGTTACATAGTAGATTCTAAAGTAGACCACACTGATAATTACTACTACTATTTCTACAACCATTGAGCACTTGACTTGAACTGAGTGGGTCAGTCACATGATCAACTAGTCCCTGAGTCAGCAATTATCCTAACACAGTTGAATCTGGAAAAATAGCATTCACGCTGAAGTAAATGCTTTAATGAAACAACTAACAACACAGCCATACCATTATCATGGCCAGCGATTCTTGAAGATCAGTGAATCCTTGTTTGGCTAGACAAATTGTCAGAAAGTTGTAACATGTCAAATGTAGTAGTATATACCCAATTTACTTAACTCTGAAAGACGGAAAAGGGGGGGGGGGGGGGGGGGAGCTGTATATTCTGATAACCATAAAAATAAAATACTTATAACGGAATGCTCTGCAAGAATTCGCTAATAATAATGCCCAGTGCGCGGGAGTATAAAGTGCATTGTTATTCATTGTACTAACTAACCACTTCGAATACGGCCGGTTCATTGACTGACACGGACACGGTGCGCGGCCCACTAACTTATTTAGTTTCCACCTGTGTAGAACGATGTTCCTTCCCTACTGTCAGAATTGTATACTGTGAGCATTAAAATTAACATCATTTACTAAACAAAACAAATGCACTTGCAAATCATGAATATGGTTCTAAAAACGACCCACTAATCATTGCTTGTGTTACTTACAGACTTAGAGAGAGACACACACACTGTCTACACTCTCACTACAACTTACTACAACAAGACTGAAATCAGACGGACAGGATTCAGATAAGAGTGTTGTCCCTTCACCGTGTCTGACTGACTTACAGACACTGAATCAACAAGTCACACCATAGCACACCACCCTCCTTAAACGCACTTACTGCAGCCTTCACCAGGCTGGTGTAGCTTCAAATTGAAGTTCAATCAACCTGACGCCGTCTCCGTGATGAAGGTGGTCTGTAATAGATCTTTAACACACTCTGACTTTCATTTTGGATGTTCTGTTGTATGTGCGCGCGCAGGTCTGTGTGTGTGCAAGACCGGATTAAAACTATTAGCATTAGCGGTCCCAAGCACTTGAAAGATGTTGGTGCCCCCCCCCCCCTTTTTTTCCCCATGCATATGTAATTCCCACAGTGTGCACGGTCGAGTGTATGTGTGTGTTTGTTTAGAAGAGTTAGTATGTGATCAAAGATGTGGCAGAAAGCTGTTGACAAAGTTACTAAGGTCATCACACCTAAGTCTTTATGGACGAAAAACTATTTTTAAAAATACATCAATCCGCCAAATGACAAAGCTGTTCCAAAAAATGTTACATAAAAAATTGACATCGCCGCATTTGGGATACAATGGTTATTGTCATTCCGTGTCGATATAGAAGCTCTTTAATGTCATCAATCCATATTCTTCTAGGGCGGCTTCTTGCTTACTTCAGACCTCTTTATGTGTAGCGCCTGCGCTGGTAGTTGTTCTGGTTGAATTCTTACTAAATGACCAAACCATTTGATCTTTGTTTCTTAATGAATTTGCTGCATGTTGTTGTTCCTACGGTATCAATTACTGACACTGTGTTTTTTAAATTATTATTATTGTGTTCTAAAAGAAATCTAACGCAGTCTCACTCAAACGATGCTTATTGATAAATAACATTTTTTTTTTAATAATAATAATAAAAAGCGTCCCATGTAAATGAGATCATTTTAGCTTTAAAAATAAAAGAAGACGAAAATATATAGTTTCTAGAAAGAAAGGCAAAGGTGAATTAACACAAAAGTTGCTACAGAACATTAGAGACATCCTGAAAATAAAAATGCGCTAGGAAAGTCTTCTTTTTCTTCTTCATCTTCATCTTCTTCTTCTTCTTCTTCTTCTTCTTCTTCTTCTTCTTCTTCTTCTTCTTCTTCTTCTTCTTCTTCTTCTTCTTCTTCTTCTTCTCCTCCTCCTTCTTCTTCCACCTTGTACCTCATTGAAGTGTCGAGGGGAGATGTAACATTCGTTGGTGAGCTCTGTGAAGAGCACTTATAAGACTGATGCTCATTTCTGTAAGGCTGTTCTATTAGCCATTACGCCATTTTTTCCGAGGTCTTCCCCTCGCTCTATACCAGTTGTAACATTTCAGTGTGGCTCGCTGTGGCAGATAGTACCAGGGCATTCTTGTTAGGTGAAAACCATTTTATTTTGTGTGACCTGTAGGAGAGGCGTTATTCCTAGCATTCGTCTAATTTTGTATTCTGTCTTTCCTTGAAACTCCTACAGCTCTTCTAAAGCAT